GGGAGTGTGTCGGCGGCGGCAGCAGCGGTGTCGGGCTTATGTACGCTCGTTGGCCCTTGCACTCTCGAATGTGTTGTAGAAGAATGCCCAATGCGCTATAAATGTTCCGACGTCGACGGCTACTGCCGACGCCCGCCGTCGTATAAACACCGCAATCAAGAACAGCTCCTGATATCTTTATAACCCTTCCGCCGCCGCCGCCGACGCGAACGACGACGTCGACGACAATGACAACATTGGCGGCGGCGGCGGCTGCGACGAACACCGACACGACTTCGGCGAGTCGGGCAAGTCAGCGATCACTCGGAACCTTCCTCGGTGGAGTCAGACGGATGGCGACGGTGCGGAACATACGTTCGCCAAATGGTAAAAAACAGCACGACACCGAGCGACAGGGAAGGCTCTGCCCGGATGGAAGTAGCGGTGGTCCTAACCTTCCTCCCGAGCATGGAAACGTTCTCTTACGCAGAGTCTGTTCTCATGCAGTCAAGGAGGATATTGGTAACGTGGGCCGGTTGTGTTGGCGTCGGCCGCTACCTCCTGCACCGCCAAAGCCAACACTCTGGGAGCCGTTCCGACAGCTGCGAGTCCCTCGACTCCTGGGCGCTTCCCCCAGCGCCCGTGCGGTCGCTGCCGGGGCTCGATTTACGTGCGACTGAGTGGAAGGAAAACAGTCAGCCAGCTATGTAGGTAGCTGGGGCAGGCTGGCTGGCTGGCTGGGTTTTCCCGAGCCGACTGCTGACCCAAGCAAGCCTTATTGATTAATGATGGATCATATCACGACGACTCGAGAGTCACCGAGAGAGCGGTGAGGTTAAGCGGGAAATCGAGCCGGAAAAAATCCATCGGGCGAAAGAGTAAGCGGCCTTAGCAGAGGGACCCGCAACGTCTCGTGTTTGCCCTACGACAGCTATGGTTGCAAGAGGCTACAAGAAGGCTTTTTAGCACGAGCCGGCCGATGAGAGCCTCTCGATGCAACTACTCCAGCGAGATCCCGCTGAATCAATACCCAACGAGTGGCGGTGCTGCTGCTGCTGCTCCTACTACTGTTGGTTCAGTGCCACCGATTGCCCTACAGCGTACACTGGAAGGCCGAATGAATATGCTCGCCACGATCCTTTCGCGCCATTCGCATCCGTCGTTCGGAATATTGATACACTGTATTCCCACAGGTGTTGGGGTTCGCTCCCGTCAAGGGTTCCCTAGGGGAGGCCTGACCTTTCTAATTGCACGATAGACGGGAACGCAAACGGATAGGATACGACTCGAGATAGACTCCATCCAGAGAAACGATGTTAACGGAAGGAATGTCTCCCCGGGAGGGCATCCAACATGATTGGACGAATGGAAGGAAGGACGTGTGAGCGAGTCCGATAGCAAGGAATGGATTGGATGCGGCGGCGAAGAAAACATTCGAGTTCATTTCCTCGTCCAACGTTTTCTGAACGTTTCAAGCGAGTGCCTCCTGACCAAAAGAGTATTCGATAGGGAACATGTCACCCGCCTTGAGCACTGGTTGTTTTGTCGGCCCGCGTCTCTATTCCTCGGAATCTCTCGAGTAGGTCTCCGAGCGATTCTTACGATGGCGTCGTTGGAGTCAAGCAAGTCGTCGCGGCCGCTCGCGGAGCGTACATTTTTCTCCGTCTCAGTTCGAGTGTTCTTCCCCGTCCCTTCGTGTTTTCTCGCTCTGAGAATGGTTGTTCTCCTCCGTTTTTTGTCTCCGTTCTCCTCCCGGTCCGTCTTGTTGAAGGCCTTGTGGCCTTTCTTGGTTTGCTCATGGTCTTAAAAGACACTTTGGTGGATTTGAAAAGTCATATTCACAAGACGGCGGTGGTGAGTAAGGAGTGGTGGTTCCTGTGGCTTTCTGCAGAGTCTGCAAGCAAGCGTTCCCGTGTGTGATTTCGAAGCCCTACTCCCGGAACCCTTGAGAACCCCGGATCGGGAACTCAGGACGATTTCCTCGAGCCCTTTTTGCTGAGTCTGAATTATGCCTAAGGATTTTCGACGATTTTTTCCCTTATCCGCCTCCCTACTGTTTTCCTCCTCGCCTTTGGTTCCGGAATTCGAGTGAATGACCGGCAGCCCGTTTGAAAGCTGGACAATTGAAGAACAGAGGCCCCCAATGCTTGTTTTGCCTGTTCCGTTTTCTTCCCATTTTCTTTCCTCGTTGAAGCAATTTCTCTTCTGGCTTGCTTGCCCGCCTGCCTCCTTGCCTGCCGCTTGTTTGCCTGTCCGCTTGGTCGTCGGCTCCCTCTGCTCTCGCGAGAGACTCGTTCGGCCAGCGGCAAAACAGAAGCCATTCTCTCTATTCCCAGGCTAATAGAGACCGTCGGCCGGCTGACCGGGGGATTGATACCCGGCCCGGGCGGACGGGCTCGGGAGGAATTTCTCGAAAAGCGGATGGATAACGAGAGTAGGAAGAAACGCGCGCTGAGTCATGTGGAGAAGGGGAGTCGCTGACGGAGTTCAGAATTATGAGCGTCCCGATCATCAAGCTCCGTTCGTTACTCGGGCGAACCATTAAGTATCCGGGGCTTTGTTGCAGCGACTGCCATCTAACCATTTAGACAGAAGCGACTCGCCAGTCGGTGAGTCATCGGACGGTCAGTTTTCCATCCAATAAAGCAGCACCCAACCGTCGCTCCATTGACCAGAGACGAAACGAGGAGCGAGCGACCTGGAGCGGAGAACGACTCGAAACATCTCCAGCCGTGTCGACTATCTCTCCTCCCGTCGACGGGCAGAACCTCGACGTCGTTCGGTGCTCCACGGAAAACTCGCGTATTGACTTCTGGGAAGATTGTGAACCGAGCGGCCAGCAGAGAAAAAAACGGAGGGAGGAACGGACAACCACCGTAAGAAGACAAGAAACGTTGCCCCAGCTGCCGCCACTGTTTGTCTTTACGTTGACTTGACCCCGCTCTACTCGGTAGTTGGTCGGCTAGCCGCCTGGTTGGCTGGGTCGGGTCGGTCTCTCAGGCTGAGTGGGTGCGGAGCCGTTCCGATTCAGCTCTGCTCGACTCTTGGCCCCGTTCGACTTCGGTCGCTTCCAAAACTGACGCCGTTTATGGCCTCAACCTTTGACAGCGGCGGCACCTGCGTCAAATGATCTCTCTGTTGCCTCTTTCTCCCACCGGCGGCGGCGGCATCCGCTGATCCGAGTACGCTATCCGGTAGCTGCCGTTCAACTGCCATTCAGATTCAAAACTCGAAACGTATACGCCGAGAGTGCGGGACGTCGAGGAAATCTTTTCCGAAAGTGGGAGCTCCGAGAGTGCGCATTCATGACCGACTGCACCGACTTCTCAGTCAGTGCGTCTGCGACTGGAATCTTTCCCGGCGTCTATTAGGGCTTCTGATATGAAGAATTTCTTCCCGAAAAAATAATCAGAGACTTCATGAATGCCTTGGATCTCTTTTTTAAGCTCTTTTGGGGATCCTTCCGGAGGACCTTGATCATCTCTGTTTCGGTGACAGAAAAACGCATCGAGGACACGGGCGAATGGTTTTGCCGAGTGAGTTCCCGCTGTAAATATACATCAGATCGGCGCTAATTGAGCAGAACTCCGAATTCTCATTTATATGGAAATTCCTGAAGACGGATCTGCGGATCTCCGATAGCGAGCGTCGGCCATGGAGATGGTAATTCAAAGCAGCGCTGAGCCTTCAATTCAGACCGCCGATCCCGCGTTCGCACTCATCCAAACTCGAAACGCACCAAGATGCTCTGGGCTGTTAGCACCTGTTTGATGAAGCCGCGAACGGAAGTCGTCGAAACCGCGCGCTTGACTCGCCTCTGAGCGAGTGAGATTACGCTCGAAGATCCCCTGAACTGCCCGGATCCGCCCTCTGTCCTCCGGAATCGATTCTCGTCTTCATTACAAACAAGGAGTTCCGGAACTTGATTGGGCCGAAAATAATTCAGGATTAACAAGGACTACACGGGGGCGATGCGTTCCTGGCGAGGGGATCGGGGTCGATCGCATTTATCAGGCTTTGCCCACCTCGGAATTGCATGGACGCTCGGGACAACGTGCATATTTTCTGCCTTCGTGCTAAATTTATTCAATAACCACACGTCGATGCGTAAGCGCTGCCTCCGAGGTCTATGCTGCTTTATTATACACGACGATTGGCTTAGACGAGCGGAGCTTATAGGGCAGGTAGGATTCAACCGGCGGCAACGAAATATTAACGACGAGATAATGCGGGCTTGTTAGCGCACATCGAAATTACTCCGGCTAAAACCTCATGGCTCGGACATGACCCGGGAACATCGAAAATATTCTACGCGTCGTGATAAGGCGGCCGTATTTTCACTCCTTTCTTGTTCCCTGATGGAGAAAATCTAAATATAACCGTGTTGTGGGCGAGCAACGGAAGATACTCGACCGAGATTTCTGAATTCTCTCCCCTTAGAGTAGATCTCCGAATTCATTGGAGAAGGTTCACTCGAGGAACATCGGTTTGGACAATGCCCTGAGTGTTTTGGGGACCGCTCAGTCAGAGAATTCGAGCGATAGTACGCAGTCGGAGTTTTCTACGAAGGAGCCGTGTCGCGTCGATTCGGTGGGGATTCCATCGCGAGCGCACGTAATCCGTCTCACAAAATTACTCGGTCACCGGGGGGGCTCTCGGTCAGGGGTCGACGACTTCGAAGGGGGCGCGTGCACGCTCTCGGACCTTCGGATAGAATGAATCCGCCAATTATCTGAACAATCGTCAAGCAGAATCCGCGAGAGGCTCTCGAATGCTCGGTCAGCCGAGCGAAAAACGCGAATCCATCGGAAACTCCGCCGATCGTGTCAATCCCATCCGCCCCGCGACTATCGACCGTTCATGCTCTGAATCTGCTCCGGGAATCGGAATCAAGGAATTTTAGAGCACAGCTTCCTAGGTTGAGAACAACGGGAGGTTTTTTTCTCGCTCGGCTACAAAGTTCCGCCTCCGTTTGTTCCTCGAGCGCTGACCATTCCGAGAATTCGTCTCGGGAGACTCACCGTTCAAGTGTACGGGGGTGGCCGACTGTTCCGTAACGGAGCGGCTGTCGACGGCGGAAGGGGCCGTTATCGAGGTCACTCTGCCAGACGAAATGGCCACCGTTAAAACTGTGAGTGCTGTGAGTTTCATGTTTGAAGCCGAGACGATTTCGGTGGCAGCGACGACGACACTGCTGATGATGGCACTGGCGACGATGATGATGAATCCTGTCGATGAGCTAGCGAGGATCGTCGCCTTTTAGGACTGGCGAGTCCTGGACTTGATGGCGAGAGATCATATCCGGCCGTGTGCCCAAACTCCTGAGAACATCTCGAGGACTCCTGCAAGGAAGAGCTCTGTCAGACAATGCTTCGTTCGTCCGAGTCAGCGGAGTTCCCGCTTCCTCCTCCTGCCCGTGTAATCGTCTTCTGGTATTATTCGAAGGACGTATATCGGTACAACTTCGGCTGAGCGCTTCGGTACTCGGAGCCCGACCGTAACTCCATCTCGAAAGTTTGAACGCTCATCCAGATTGTTTCGAGGTCTTCCCGCGAGCGCAAAGCGGCAGCAATCTACTCAAGTGTTAGCTCCGGACGGAAGCCGCAGCTCACTCACAGGTGAAGAGTGTACGTTGAGTAAGGCGTAAAAGAAGAGACATTGGAACGGTGTGTGTTTTTTTAAAGAAGGGATTCCAGTGGATTAGCGGCTTCCTCTAAGAGTGGCGAGACCATCCGTCGTATTAGAGGAACGGGGACCGGCACTTCGGTCGCCTCTGAACATTGAGTGGACAAGTCCGCCGTCGCCATAGTCTTTTGTATCGATTCCGGCAACTACTGCAATTAGGATCTTATCCTCTCATAGCATGTGGATTATCTCGCTTTTCATTACCAGCCTCTCCCAAAACCCTACGATATCGGAACAGTCGAGTCATGGCCCGCCGTTTTCGTGGGAAATCCGCCGGAGCGTTTGCAGTCGTCCGACTGTATTCATGAGGTCAATCCACTTAACAGAGGCGAACAGTATGAGAATTCCGTCGCTTTCCGACAGCTCCACTCGCTTGTTCACAGTCTGTAACAAACCTCCTGTAGCGCCTAATTCCCTCGGTCGTGCTGATGCGACGTGGGAGACTAACCTTCGGCGTTGGGCCATTCTAACCGCAAACTTCGTCTTCTGTTCCCCCGCCCACTTTTACAACTGTTCCAGCCCACCGCCGTCCGCGGCGATTCCAACGAGTGCGGAAACCAGTGGTGGTGTCAAGCGGAGCGATCCCACTTCCCAGAGGCGCGGATGACAGCCGGGAGACCATCCTGCGATCCGGTGAGACGTGCATGCGCATCATACCTATCGAAGATAATTATCTTCTATGCACGTACGTGCATCAGTGGGAGGATCCGAGCAGTGAGAGAATTACAGAGAGCTCGAATTAGCGATGGGGAAGAGTGAGCGAGCCACGCAATGATGGATGCCGACGTCGTTGCCGAAACGCTAGGGATCGCTTCGAAAATTCTTCCCGCGTGCGCAGTCAGCCAGCCCCTTTATCGCTCCTCGTCACCCAGATACCGCGATTGAAATATAAGCACGCTGATGTTAGACAGCACTCTTGGGATTCGGCCGCGATTTGTTTTCGTTGTCTGCCTCCCGCCTGGCTTCCATCCTACCGCCCGCCCGACAAACAGACAGTCGAACGGACAGGCAGACCGACCGAGCCACAGACCGGAACACCGAACGACCACTGCTCGCAATGATTATGATGTTCCTTCAGAGCTCTCCGGTCTCGTCTTCCAGCCTCGCTATTCCCTCTCGGTCCTCGCATAGACGGTTATTCAAGGGTTTTTTCCGTCGGCATCGTGAGATGTCCCACGGTTTCCGGACGATGCCGAGCCTTCCCCTCGCTATATTGTGCGATGAATACACGCCGTGTCATGAATGGAAGGGTCCGTCATCTCTCGACGGCCTCCTCATCCTCGAGTGGAATACGCGGCAATTCAAGGGATACGATCGAGGGCAAGAGGGTCCATGATTGGAAATCCGGCTGTCTTCATTCGACATCGGGCAAAGAAACGACCTCTCCACCTAAGTCGATGTGTGCAAGATCCGCCATTCCTTCTTCGGAGTCTCGCGAGTCCTCCGAGTATCCATCCCCGGAACGCTCGATTCCGCCTCCGTTACCCCGACTTTTATGGGAGGAAGGGATAGGAGTGCAATGGCGGACCCGTAAATTGGACGCTGAGACAACGAGCGATTGCAATAAAAAAGGTAATGATGATAGAGTGCTCCTGTGATGATTTCGAACCAATAACAATGGCCGACAACTAGAATCGTCGATTATATGTATATTGAGCCATAAAAAAACCTGTTATTAATGTCGCACATGAAATATTAGCACAATGGGGCTGTCATAATAACATGTCTCTCGCTCGATACCGATAGCAGAGGACAGGGAACCGACGCCGACGGAAAGCTCTTACAAGTCGACGCAGCGAGGACCGCGTTTGTTACTCGGAGTAATCCGCGAGCGATCGCCTCGAGGAGACTCTATCAAATTCCGAAGAGAGGAATCTTGTGGAATCTCCGCTCTTGATTGGAATTAAAGATCTCCGGGGACATGAAGAGGTCAAAATCAATGGGCAGGTTACACGAACCTGTCTCTAGACGACCCCACAGAAGGTCAGAATCCATTGAGAAATAATAATAATAATCGATCCGCTCGACCTCTTGTCTGGACGCCTCACGGGACTCAAGCTCCCGGACTCCTATAGAGACAGAACATACAACGAAAGAGGTAGTGTGTATCGATCTCCTGCCGACCGTGTCGAGAAAATGGTAAGCTTCACTGCCGGCGCAGCAATCATAGGCGACTGATGATAGCGAATCTAAATCTGATGAATGCTCGTGAACTGTTCCGTTTCCCAGTAATTAGATTCTGGGCAGCTCACGCAGTAGAACGAGGAAGTTTCTCGCGAGCCTGGCCGAGCGAGCCGACAGGTCGTTCAACTAATGGAAACGATGGCGAACATGTACTACATATCTATCTAGCTGCTTGGCGGGCTGGTTGGTTGGCCGGCCGGCCGGCCGGCGGGCCGACTGTCCCTCCAGCCGGCCGGTGGATCTCTACGATCGTTCGCTCAGTCTCTTGCTTGGTCGCCCCTGCTCGTCCTGCTTGGAGCCGGGCCGTCCGTCCGTCGACTTGTCTGCCTCGTTGACTTGCACTGCTGGCCATACTCGGCAGGTCCGCGCTCGGTTTTTGAAGTTAGTACTGCCCGGCGAACGCGAATCCCAGAAGGACACGTTGCGTCGACGGATGGTCAACGACATCCCTCAGCCGACTGGATGAAAACTCGACGCCGACTCGCATGGGCAGGAGGGCTGAGCAAAAACCAAGGCCATCGACAAACACACGCAACACGGACATCATCTTAGATCGGGGAGATCGGCACGCTGAGATTCGGACAAGCCTCGTCGGGGGCAGCGGACTCCTTCAACGATTTTGAGCTCCGGTGGAGAGGAAAGCGCTTGGGGATTCTTCTCGAATTTATCCTTTCGGTCCAGCGCTGGTGAGAGCTTAGCCGAACAGTTGAAAATGAGTGGTCGACAATGGAATCCCATGTTCCTCTGGTGGACGTAATCCGGGGATTTGGGAGGATCATTTTCGAGCCGAGGGACATCCTCGTTTTTTCCTCCCTCACTCATATTCCCGATAGAAGAGTTCGTACCCGAGAGCTCCGCGGGCGGACCCTGGTCGTCGGACGGCCGAGGTTTTGAGGTTCAGCGACCTCATCGAAGCGAGCCGTCAGAGCGAAGAACAAGGAGGAGGCTCGCGTAGCAACAAGTTTTTTTCCTCCCCAGTACACGAGAGTTCATTCGTCAACAAAGACTTCTTCGTCGTCGCCAAAACTGATTGCAGACTCTGCCTTCGGTCCGCGCAATGCTGCGATGCCGTGTGGAGTGGCGGCGGCGCGGCGATGCCGGCGGCCGGAGTTGTACAATAAATCATAAATCTTCCAAACTCCGGCCGTGCGTCGATGGGATAAACTCGAGCGAGCGCGGTGGCGGCGGCGGCGCGATTCATTCGTCGTCCTTTGAGAATTTATAAGAAGCGACAGAGAGAAACAAAGAAAGAAAGCGAAAGAAACTGTCCGCACTGGGAGGGAACGGATGCGGGCACGCGATTGTAACCGTGAATGCCAACCCCGGCTCGAGCCTTACCGCCAACGGAGGTTAAAGAAAGAATCTCCCTCGATGCTTTCGGCTCTCCGGCCGTGAGGGTTTGGCGTAGTCAGGTCTCCAAATGCCGAAACAAACCCCGCCAGCCCCTGACCTGATTTAATGGAGAGTGCGAACCGCCCCGCGCGAGGATTAATTCGCGCAGTAATCGCAATCAACGAATTCCACCCCCGCGACAATGGGCCCGAGTCGACCCGCGCGACACGGTCAGACCGGGGCGAATCATCGCGATGTCAACACTGATCGGCGGGCTGCGTGCGCCGCGCTAGGACCTCATGGACGTCTCGTCTATCGCCAGATGAGCTCCTCGCCTACTTTGGTCGTGGAAACTCGTCGTCGTTGTCGCCGTCCTTGTTGTTGTGCGCGGCTCGAGCTGGTCGTCGACGGCGATGGTTCTCGTGGACGTTGTTCCGAGAAGACAGTAGCGGCGACGCCAGGAAGAGGGAAGGATCTTCCCGTACGTAAGACATTCTGTGTTGAAAACAAGTTTCGACAACGCTGTTCCATTGGAACGAGGACACATTGTCTAATCTTGGGAGGAGTTGGTTGTAGGAGTTCGTTCGAGGGGAAGGAGGTGTATGAAAAGGATCCGGCGCGGACAGAGACGCAAGATGCCCTCCGAGGCAAGGTGGACCTAAGCTGAGCGATTTCAAAAATGCAAAACGCCTGAGAATGTCGTCGACCTCCTCTCGCGAGAGGCGGCAGCAGGTGGCCGGTCTCCTCGTCGGGCGTGAGTGTGGGTGAGAGCAATTCGTTTGACGGGGAACGCGACCTCGTCCGTGTCCTGGTAAACGGACGCGCCGACCTCTTGCATCGTGAGATTATGTAAGTGAGTATGCAGGAGCGCGCGCGCGGACCTCGGCCACGTCGTGCCGTAGTCGGTTCATGCCACCCCTATTATGGAGTTGGGCGCTGTTAACTAAGTTTCTGAGTAGGATAGTTGGCACAGTTCGAAGCGGAAGACCGACGCGATAAGACCGGACACGAAGTAATCAAGCAGCGGAAGTGAGACTTGGCTGCCTTAAATTAGAGATAAAATCACCGCGCAGGCAACCGTCGCGTCGCTCACGACTCCATTGTTGTGCAGGGCGACCGGACCACAGGGAACTGTATAGGAACTCGTGCCCAGGTTGCCGCTTCGATTACGGTCGGATCGGCGAGAAAGAATCCCGTAATTTCTCAGCGTCGATTCCGGACTCCATCGGACATTGTCGGAATTCGTTAGAGCAGCTTTGCGTGGTATTCGATCTGAGATGAATCGGGAAGGACAAGAAGCGAAATTGGAAGCGATGGTAACCGGTGCCGTTCCTCAATATGTTAGTGCCGTCAAGAGGCCATCACTTGGGTGAAATCCGCAAAAGTTCAAAATATGGACGGTCCGAGCCTCGTTGGGGCATCAATAGGAGAGAGCGATTCAGAAAACGCATTCAAACACGTGAGGAATTTCTGGAGACCTTATTCCTATTAGAGGGAACCCATCTCCCTTCCTGTCAAACACGGATCCGTGATTCGCGTCCGAGCTCGCGGTCGGGTCGAGCAACGAAAGACGTAAGTTGTGCAACATCGCCTGCGATGTACTTCTCGTGAAAACTGGCAACAAACGTTCGGACACGTCACGCACGTATTCTGCGCCGCTGAATCCCGCGAACGCACGTCACAGAATATTGAATTATGGCTCCCCGGAGCTGCCAGCCTGCGTCGTCTCCCTCCTCAAAAGAGAGACCGTCCCCGGCATCTGTTCGTCGCAACTGCTAGATTCATCCCTAATTCCAAAGATTCATTCCTCATTCCGTGTATAAACGCGAGGATTTGAGAATCTTCCGTGATGGCGCAACTTACCAAAAAGTTCTCCTCCAAAAAGAAGGCCGAATTATCGTATGTCGGGCGAAGTCTATTCCGGAGCTGACGACTCTTCTGCGGATCCT